GAAAACCCAAAACAGTCTGGCGCGCGGTGAGGAAAACCCGTGACGTAAGCTGTAGCATAAGGTTTTTTCAACTTTGCATTTTTATTAGTTGCTTTAGTTGATTTAATTATTATCCATAATAATATTCGGTTTTATTTGACGGTTACTGGACACTAGTTTATTCTGTTTAGAATAAACTGATAAATTGCAGGATAAATTATCTTTATAGAGAACATTAATCAATATTCTACTATTAAATGTTATTTAATCTCTCTTTTAACTTTATACTTTATCGTTTTATAATTATTAATATTCATTACTCTTATTATATATCGACATTTATATTAATACTTGCTAATTTAATATTCTATTAATTCAATCTTTTTTCTTACTATTTTCTTTATGAATTTTTCGACGTTTCTAATTATTTTATGTTTATTCCAAATAATTATTCCTATGGCATTTTAACTGTGAAGAAAGCGCGTCTGACCAGTTTCGCTGCTCCCGCTCTCGGTTTTTCCACCGTACCGCACATGCGTTACCGAGTGGGAGTACCTCCCGCGCTAATTGGCTCCTGCCTATTAGGAAAGGGAATCCACGGATGCGAATTAGTAGTGGCGCATAAATACGCTGCATTTTCCCTGTCTGACTCTTACTCGACCATCGACTCCCTAAGGAAGACTACCGCCACGAAGCCCTTGCGAATCACCGCTGCCGCCTACACGCTACGACTTCGCAGGAGCGAATTCACTTGTTTTGCACCTATACTGACCATGACGCTCTATTCGTTCTCATCGCCACGGACAACGCTGTTTCTGTACTCTCGCCAGGGCAAGAGACCACCTTCATCACTAAATCTGCCCTTTTCAGGGCAATTTCTACGTTTGATTCAAGACAATTTGCTCTTTTCAGGGTAACAATTTTACGTCAGAATATTTTCACTCCTCTTCGGGAGCTATCCGAGGTTCCGAGTTAACGCGCAACTTCGTTAACTTCGCAACAAAGCCTTAAGGCTTTGTGACTTTCTGAAACACTTTCGGGTTCTGTGCCAAATTAGACTGCCCCTGAGTAAACGAGCTTCGGTGACGCATGGCCAAGAACTCTCGTCAATGTCGTGAAAGAGCTGTTGCTGAACCGCCGCCTGTAGCCGATGCCTCCAAAATACTGTCCGCCACCGACCAGGAGCCGACCGTCGAGTCAACCCCGAATCGGACATCATCACCGGGTCCACCGAAGACGTTTGCCCGAACATTTACTTTTACGCCTGTGTTCAAAACCTTTGCCTCTTGGATGGATCGAGTAGCCTAAGAGAAAGTTGGGTGGACGCAAGCTCCATTTCCAAGCGCCCCGAGCAACCTTTGCCTCTTAGGCACCGGCCCTTCTCATTTTCAGGCAAGTTAAATCAATTTTTGAATATTGATCATATAATTATTTTTTATTTATCAAGTATTTTGCACTAATTTTTCTGCTAATTTGGATCCGACATTTTAAAAATGTAAGTTACTTTACTCTCAATAAATTTGTAATAATTTTTCTTTTACGCAGGAAGGTGTGAATAAGGAAAATGAGGAATTCAGATTTCAGGAAAAGGATATAAAACGAGAGCAGGAGCAGTTGCGGCAAGCAAAAGAGATATGGCGGCAGGAACAGGAACAATGCGGCTACAACAGCAGCTACTGCATGCAAAAAATAAAGGAACAGAAACAGTCTTCTTCTCTTTAACCGATTTTCATACCATCAGCTTTCACCGTTTCCAAAGCAGTAGTTGACAATCTGATACCAACCAACCATTTTATCTGCCATATTGGCCAAATATGAACCATATGTCTCAGGTTCTACCGCCGTAAGAACAGTGTTGGCACTGGTCTTCATATTACCAAGACTTAATTCTTCTTGAATTATAGTTAATTTGGGGATATCAAAATGCATTGCAGATCATATTAATTCAAGGAAACGATCAAAATGATCCATATATCGTATTAAGTAACTACAAGAGTTGATAACATTTGTTTGTTTTGAAGTGTCATTGTACATCTGTTAATATGCAAAAGTATGTGCTCTTGAATATTCAGGAATTCTATTTTTTGTTTTTAGGAATATGAAATAAATCTGTTTTTAATAGATCATTTTTCAAAAACAAATTTCAAAAAAAGATGAAATTAAAAAAAATTTGTGCGTGTCAAATTGCTGCGTCACATTTTATAAAGATAGGAATTATTATTTTTTTTCGGACAGTTTTAAAATCTCTACAAATTCGTCTTGTTTTAATATTTATGCAATAAAACTCGTATTTTTATTAAAAAAAGATATTTATATACAATAATATATTTATATACAATAATATAATACAATAATTATAATAAGAATTATAACAATAATATTAATTATTAAATTTGAAGAAGTTAACAATTTTTCCGAATCAATCTACACATATAAATTAAATATCTTAAATAAACTTCTTTAAATTTAATATTTAATCACCGAATGATAAATTCACTTCCTTCAATTATAATTTGCCTATAAATTGTAAAATTAGGCTTACCATCTTTGAGAACCTTCCTACGTTATCATTAAAATAATGTAGGAAGGGATAGTATATTTCAAGGAACTCGGAGAGTCTCGGGGTGCATGTAGCTCAGTGGTCAGAGCAGTCTACCGGCAATAGAAAGGTCGTGGGCTCGTATCCCACCATGCTACCGTTTTTTCTGAGTTCTTTGATAATTTTGAAATTATTAATTAATTTCGAAAATATTTTTCAAATTAAGCAGGTTTCTGTATTAGGGCAGCTGTGCTGTCGATACATTGAAGCCCATGAGCTTATCGAGATTTATTTAAGATATTTTTTTTTTTTACTGTTTATACTCCTGCCCTATTGGCCTTACGCACTTCGACAAGAGTCCCCGAGAAATACTTTTTTGGATTAAGCATAACCATTCTACTTTAGAAATTTTCTATATAGGGTAAACGTACCAATTGTCGAGGATGGTTCCTGTTGTCGAGTAAACAAACTTTGAATTTTATTTAAACAGTGTAGCACATTGTAAATTAAAAAAAGTAATAAATTTTAATTTTTTTATGCGTTATAAATGTGAAAAAAATATATTAATATTATATAAACAAACAAATGAGACATTTTAGACAATATTTTTTGGTTATTACCATGGTAACATCGACAAATGGAACACCCTCGGCAATTGGTACACTTACCCTATTAACCTAATTTTGCGTCTACAGCCGACTTTATTAGGAGTACTCGCATTACGCCTGGACCACCCGTCAATGGGTTTTCTCGCCAGAGAAGAGGTTAACTGTAGAAAACCTCTCTGAGTACAACCGGTTTATCGACAGTCGAGTTCTAATGGTGTGTACCGGACAATAATCGACGGTGCACATCATTATACCTCGACGTCAAACCTTCCGCTCAGATTGTCTCACGTGCCGGAAAAATACCAAGCCAAGTGGGCGCGAACCAAGGGTACTTATACCCTTGGTCCTTAAACGACCACCAACGCCAGGCATCTATCCGACTGAGCCAATCTGTCGGTAGATTATTTAAGATATTTAATTTATTTGTGTAGATTGATTCGGAAAAATTGTTAACTTCTTCAAATTTAATATTTAATCACCAAATGATAAATTCACTTCCTTCAATAATAGTAATTGTTATTATTAATAATTATTATATTTTATTTATTAATTATTAATATTTATTTTTTATTTATTACATGATTATTATTATATTATAATATTGTATATAAATATATTTTTTAAATATAAAATATGAGTTTTACTGCGTAAAAATTGAAAAAAAGTAGAACGCTATTTGTTGAAAAGTGGTAAAAATTAATTATTTTAACGTTCGAAGAAATATTGAAAATCTTAAAAACTGAAATTTTTATTGTATTAATCTTGTTCCCTGATGTCTAAACTATAGAAATATTGCTTTGTAGAAGTTAAAAGTAGTGTACACTCTTTAAAAATTAAGTTTTATTAGCAACGCCATTTCGGTGTTGTTGCCAGTCTGGGCCTCGGTGCGTGGAACGCCATTTGGAACACCCTGCCAGTGAAGTGGTTAAAATTGTTAGTACAACAATTATTAGTCTTATAAATATAAATAAAATCAATTAAAACGATCAATTTACACCAAGTTCCAGAAAAATTTACAGACCCATTGCCAATATTGATTCTTTTGAAAAAATTAGACCCTATTTCTACATTATAAGATTAAAAATTAAGCACATTATATAAAAGAACTCTTAATGTACTTAATACTAAGTAGTAATAATTTATTTGATTTTAATTAAGATAATTAATTTACTCTGATATTTTTAGGGCTTATCTTTATGTCTATATTTGTTGCTGGTGGAGTTATTCGTGTAGGTAGAATTGGTCACAACCCAATAAAATATTTAATTTTCATAAAACAAACAAGTATTTATTCCAACAATAAAAAATATCTTAGTAATTCGCGCAAAAGTTACAAAAAAATCTTTTTGGCGATGATCGCTTATCACAAGTCTCTCTGCCCAAGCGTCGCCAGAACGTGCTTATTGCATTTTTATCTGTGAGACGCTCTGCGTGTCATCTATAACTTTTTGCGTCATTTAGAATAATAACTAAATCTGTTTAATAATAGAGAACCAGAAGCAGCATTTTACTTTCAATAATTTTGTAATTTATGGTGTATGTCACATTATATAATCAATTAATATAAGTTAATTAGTTATCAATAAATATCAATCAAAAATTTTTACTATCTAAATTATTTTCATGCTTTTCAATTAAAAATTCTACAGCAGCCAAACTGAATTTTTTTACATTACAACTCTACTCAAAAATTAAAATGTTGATAATAATTGTGTGAATATTAAAAATCAATTATACGAATAATCAGATTTTTTAAAAAATACGACACAACGACTTTTGGTAAAATGTAATGAATTAAAAAAATAAATATATAATGAAATATATTAAAATTAATATAATGAGAATTCAAAAATATTATAATGAATTGACCCTATTGTATTTATTTATTTTAATTCTTATGTACTGAGAAATCTATATGAAATTATTATTTTTCTAATCAAAAATGCAGGCGCTAATTTTAATTTTATCTGTTGCGAATGCCGTAATATACAAATAAATGCAAATATCTCGTAAGTAAAAGCTACAAATATTTTTCTTCTGAAGTGTGCCAACAATGGAATTCTATAATTTTTGATTTAAAACAATACTAGCGCGTTGGTGATGCTTTCACTCTATGTTCTCTCCTTGACCTGTACGAAGAGAAAAATTAATCCTTAGGGAGAAATTCCATGAACCAAAATGAGAAGTTTAAAAAGAGTCGATATATACCTGGTGATAACGATCCGCAAGGAAGCTTTAACGCTGCCAGTGTAGATGTGGTCAGAATTCCGTCCGCTTTTATTGCTCTCACTTCTACTTTCTACATTCTTCCTCTATTTTTCTTTATATTGTTCTCTTTCTTACGAGTCTTACAAGTCTACTCTGGAAAATACGTCTAGAATACTTCTCTCGCATTCTGTATATAGGGCGTGGCAGTTTTCACCCAAATGTTGTCCTAGTCGTTCTGCCACATGATATTCTCTATCCTCGTGTTGCTCGTAATTCTCGTTTGTGCTGGAAGGTCTGAAAAGGTTTTCGATTCGATTCAACGAACAAATACAGAAAAGAGAAACATTTTTCAATTTAAATTCATAAAAATAACGAGAATATATTATATAGGACAAAATGTATCAACTGTAGCAACCTCAAATATAGATATTGTCGAAACAGCAGATTTTTGACAATTTATATCTAATATATACTAGCATGAAACAAATTTTCGACCTTTAAGTTTGTTATTAAATTCAAGATTTAACTCTTTTTTCTAAATTAAAAATGATTTTGACTTTTTTAAAAGAAAGGACCCATTTTTCTATTCTTAAAATTAAACTGAAGATGTTGTTACGTTATTTTTACGTTTTTCGTCACAATAGCACTAATATAAGAACATTTTTCTAGTATTTAAATTTTGGTTATATGAATTGTTTAAGCTCTCGTTTGGAGTTAATTGACAGGTTCCTATGGTCAAGAAGTTCGCAATCTTGCCATAGGAAAAGTCGTTTTAGTTTAGGTGCCGTAGTATTAGTTATACAGAATTCTGGGAGAAGCAAGGTAGGATAAAAACCCCTTTTTGTAAGAAAATATCGAGAATACCATACGTTTTTATGTAAAATCACTTTTGAATTTTTTTACAATGTAATATTTATCAAAATATATTGTGAAAAATTTTATAATTATGAATTTAGTTTATAATGTATAAAATAGGATAAATAATTAACAATATTTTAAAATATCTTTTTATAAGCTAAAAACAGAGTATGCAACTATTGATTCTGTGATTCTAAGCCACAAACAAAACATTTCATATAAAATTACCTTAAATGGATTTTTGCAACTATTTTTTTAATTTTTCAGGAAATTTTTTAATTGTGGCCACATTGGGACCACTTTTTTTAAAGCAAAATTTCAGCTGCTTTTCCAAAGTCGTCTAAGTTTTATTTTCCTTAGTAAAATATAAATTTTTTTGATAAAAAGTTAGCTAAGAAGATACAGTTTCAGGGCATATATTATTAATTATATGTTAATTATGAATAATTGTTTATGATTAATGTTCTATATTTAGTTTCCGTATAATAGGCTAGAAAAAAAGCGTTACAATTTGGCGCCCAACGTGGAGCGCACAAGTTAATATTTCTGAGAAGGTAGTCCAGCAAGAAGTAAAAAAAATATAAAGAGTTTTAGAGAAAATTATTTTTGGTCATATTTTTAAAGTATGTTACAGATAAATAAAACAAGTAAAGTAATTAATCTAATTTTTTAAAGTATAGAGGAGAACAGGGCGAGGCAGCCAAGATTGCACATTTTGGTTTGCGAGGCAGTTATTTAAATAGGTTTTTTCAATTTTAATATCGCGTTAGAAAGCTTGTCTTATTGGCTAAAAAATTGCCATAGAACATTTTGACGTAGGTTGCACTTAAAAATTTCTACAACCCTTTTCCCAAAAGACCACATTTTGGCATATTTGAAAAATCGTGGGTTGAGGCGGCCAACTATTTTAATAGTTAAAAAAACATAACTTAAAGTTACAATTAGTGAAACATAACAAGGTAGTTGTCCTTAACTTACTTTTATTTTGTTAGTAAACTTCAAAAATTTACATTTAATAGTTATTTTCGTAACAAGGGCGCAAAATAGGTGATTTCGCCCAAGTCGGAATCACCTTTGCGCCCATGATGCGAACATAATTTTTTGTCCTAACTGCATGAAAAGTATGGCATTGAGGGCACGCACGATTAAACGCTCATATTAGTTAAAAATTAAGCTCTATATAAACATTATATCGAATAAAGTCTATAATGATAGAAGTTTTAAAATAGAAATAAAAAACAATGTATTCTGGAAACATAGTATTTATTTAGAACGTAGTAATTAATGATTAAACAAAACTGAAACAAGAACTTTTAAAATTGACAATTTTGATAAACGAAATGGGAACAAAACCAAATGTCTCATAATTTTTTTAGAGAAAATAAAAAAAAATTGCAAATTTTTATAAACAAAATAAAACAAGTTGAAAATGTTTGCAGTTCTATAGTCAACATAAAAAGAAAGTCGAAAATGTCTCATTTTAATGAAGAAAATCGAATAAGTAACAAGCGGGCGCAAAATACTTTATTGCCCGCTCGGAGGTAGAGGAAACGGGCGAAAAATACTTTACCGACCGCTGACGTCATACAAGTGGGCGCAAAATACTTTTCCGCCCGCTTCCCTCACTCCCGGGCGTAATGTGTTACTTTGCTCCCGCCTTAAGTGCCCGAAATGACATACTTTCATACACTAAATTCTGCATTAAAAATCACTTTACAAGAATTTTATTCGTGTAACTCTATTAACTAAAATCACTAAAATAACTCTTAGAAAAGTTACATCCAAAAAGTATGTTTTCATAAATGATACTGTCACTGCTAAACTGCTGCAGCAATAATGCCCATCTGTTAGCAACTAAAGTAAACTATCATAAGCAGTCTACATTATCAATAGCGCACGATTTGAAAAAATTATGCAGAAATAAGAAGCAATTGGCTGACTCACCCCGTTGGCTGCCTCGCCCCGTTCTCCTCTACTACATAAGAAAATCCGTCAATCTATCCATTTTTTATAGGTAAATTTGATTTTTTTAATTCATAAAAATATATTATAATTGACTAATATTAGTCTCGTGAAAGAAAATTAAAATTAAAAAAAAAAATTTAATATCTTTTGAATCTGTATTTTTCTTTCTCTCTAAAGAATTTTTAATTAGAAAATTTTATTTTGGAAAGAATGATGATTATTTTGTTGTTGGTCACATGACTCAATCCTACCTCTAAAAATTAAAAATTTTGGGAAAATTTGAGAGTGGGTACACCCCTCCTTACCTCAGGAAGGACCGTACCCCTAACAAGTTTGTCGAAGACATGAATACCTAAGGAAGGACCGTACTCCTTACAAGTGGTCGAAGTCATGATCATTAGTTTTCCGGATTACTAAATTGAATAGTCGCGTTTTTGCACTTTAAATAGTTCTCCTGAATACTCCCGTACTACAGTCATGACTAATAGTAATTAATTAAAAATTAATTGATTTACTTGCCACAGTGGTGCTATTCTTTTTATTTTTTCTTTGAAGTTACAGTTAGTGAACAATTAAATTAAAGATTTTTTTGGCTATAGACCATAAAACTTGTGTGTGGTGCATCTAGTTACTTGCTCTCTAGTTAGCATGTAGTGGTTGATATTGGTAGAGATTCCTACTTGTTAAGTCAATATAAAAAGATTTCATTAACATTTTTCGTGGGTTTAATTCAATTTAGTTTATAAATTTCCGTATATAAATTTTCTTTTTCTCGACATGTGCTAGCATCCTACTTCAGCGTTATGGCTGATGAGAATTTTTAAGAACAATTGTATTCTCTTGAAACTGGTCACGCAGGTGTTTTTGAAGTAGCTGATTACGAATCTAACCTCAGTTTGAAAAAATTATAAATGTTGCATCCAATATGATGGAAAAAAATATTTAAATTTAGTTTATATAGTAACGTCCTTCTTCCATTAGAATATTTAAAATATATTTTTTAATGTTTTCTTATTCTCACTGCGTCAAGGTAAAAGTATTTTGGGTAATCTTTTTTTAATTTTTTCATATTTTTTTTGCTTTTATACATATATTTTTTTATATTTTTTGAACATTTTTTAGGAAAATTTAAATCTATTTTTACTTTTATTAAATAATTTTTCCATGTGATTCTAAAAAACAATCTTTTCAAAAATATCAATTGCATTGCTGAAATAATAAAAACGTTCTTACTTCACAAGAATCCTTAGAGCAGTATTTCCTCTTTTGCGACGTTTCTACATTGTGAATTTTCATACCATGAGTTCCACATTTTGTCAATTTATGTCTGACAATATCTAACACAAAATATTTTCTGAAACCTTTTTAAGTTATTTTCTAACAGCATTTGACAAAATGTAAAACTCATTTTGTTTTTAAATTTTTATCACATAGCATTCAAAGCCATTCTCTCACAGTAAATTTTTCACTTATGGAAATTTTTTTTATCAAAATCTGTACTGGACAGAGAGATGGCATAATTGATATGGAATGACTCATATTCAAAACCGTTATGTCTTAACAAGTTGATAAATAATATCAGTTTGATAAATTGCAAAAATTCGAATAATTTCTCAAGATATCCCTCCAAGCAAACTTTAGAATTTTTAATTGTTTATAATTTTTTTAAATTAAAATTAACAAATTAATACTGTACTTTCCTTTAAAAATAAAAGTTTATTTTTTATTCCGTTACTACACATGTCTTAGATCAGTTTAAATTAATATAATAAGACCTTCCTATAAATAGTAAAGCATAAAATAATTTATATTATCTGATATAAACAATATTAGTTAACAAATAAGTTAACTTTGCTTTCTCTCCATCAACAAATTTTGTTCTTTCATATTTATATTTTACTTTAGGTTCATTTAATAAATATATTTTCTTTTTGTTACAAAGGAACTTTTTTAAATTGTTACAAACAATATTAGTTATATATAATTAACTTTTCTTCCGATGCACTAAGTTACTTATTAATTTAAGGGGGCTGGTTAAACCTAGGGTTTTTACAAATGTGTTTTTCTAGTGATATTATTATATTTTTATTAACTAAATTTTTTTTACATAAAAGTAAACATATTGAGAAGAAAATGTAAGCAAAAAAATTAAAGGTGGAAGAAATTAACAATCTCTTCAAATCAATTTCTCACTTATAAGATTCTTAAATTTCATGTATCAATAGCACCGCTGTCCGAATACAGAAACCTGCTGCTTTTTCTGAAAAATATTTTCGAAATCAATTAATAATTTCAAAATTATCGATGAACTCAGAAAAAACGGTAGCATAGTGAGATACGAGAGAACGACCTTTCTATTAATTGCTGCGCCGGTAGATTACTCTGTCTACTGAGTTACATGCTGGTATCCCACTATGCTCTCGTTTTTTCTGAGTTCTTTGATAATTTTGAAATTATTAATTGATTTCAAAAATATTTTCCAGAAGTAGTAGGTTTCTGTATTCATACAGCGGTGCTGTTGATACTTCCACCTTTAACATTAATGTCTCTTGAATGCAATTAAAAATGTTAGAATCCTTTCAGTGTTATTGAAAATTCCACGTACTTTTTTCCGTGTAGTGGAAGAATTTCTTAAATTTGATAACAAAATTTTTTATATATACTTACGTTAAAAATGTTTGGACGAGTTGTCCTAATATGCCGTAATGTATGTTAAAAGGTGCGAATGCAGCTTCGCATATTGCACGGAGCATACACTCTTTACCTTTAAATCCATAATTCTCTATTACTTTTTGCACTATTTTGTATATATTCCATCGACTTTTACCAGTCCGACTATAGTGAACGCCAGGCTCAGTGAAGTCCGTCGAGTTCACAGGTAAATTATAAATGATTTTTGAAAAAGTTCCAACAATTACACTTTCTCGTCCAAGTTGTAGTGGAGTGCCAATGCCAAAAATAAGCTGCATTCGAATCAATAAGTAATTATTTTATTAGAATTTAAATCTCAACAAAAACATCTTCAATGCAAAAAGTTTCGCCAAGTAAAAGTTTTTATAATTGTCCAAACAACTATTGAAATAAAAGTTTACCAAGTAAAATTTATAACCAAAGTTTTAATATTGATTAATTTTATTTAGTGATGCACTTCGAGTCAGTCTCGTCTCGGAAAATTGACAATGAAAACAATTGAATGTTATATTTTGATCTCTTTTCTTTAATGAAAGGACAGAGTCTCGTTGTGCATAACTAATAATATTATTAATATTACTAATTACGTTTCCGAATTGAGACAATGTTTCACGTTATATTTTGAATTGCAATAAATATGAAATTTAATTTTATGATTAACATAAGCTAAAAATGAAATCTAATTATTTTTCCTAATAAAAGAAAAGAGGCTCGAAGTGCAACACTAAATAAAATCAATCAATATTAAAACTTTGGTTATAAATTTTACTTGGTAAACTTTTATTTCAATAGTTGTTTGGACAATTATAAAAACTTTTACTTGGCGGAACTTTTTGCATTAACGATGTTTTTGTTGAGATTTAAAAACTTTTTGCGTCATTTCAACTTTTTAATAAAAGCATAAAGTAATATTAAAAGGGAAACATTATTACAAGTAATTAAATGATATACTATAGTATAGATTATGATGACGTACAGCCCTGCTCAGGAAATTAAATTAATTTAAAAAATTGGAGCAATAGTTATGCTCATAAGAAATTTAAGCATTAATAACGTCTTTGTAATGAGACAGGACTTAAAATTTTGGAGTTATATAAATTTAATATAAAAGTTGAGATAATTACAGAAATAAAAGCAGGAAATACAGCTGTCATTCCTAGAATAACTTTAGATACAGGGGAATTTTCTTCATTACCTTATATTTTATACAGAAGAAAGTTTCCAGTAGTTTTAGCTTCTGCTATAACTATTAATAAATCACAGGGATAAAGTTTTGAAGAGGTAGGTATTTATTTTCGCAGACCTTTATTTTATAATGGCCAAATGTACGTAGAATTTCGAGATGTAAAAACCAAAATAAATTATTTGTTGAAATTGATTCTGAAGAATTTACAGAAATAAAAAATATTGTATGGAAGGAAGTATTTAAATAAATTATTTGAAATATTTCAAAAAATGTAACTTAAATTTTTATTTAATTTTACAATATTATTAGAATATATTTACATATTATATTATTAAAATATATTTACTTCGAAAAAATTAATAAATATTTTTTACTTTAGGTGAGATGCTAAATTAGTTTGTAATAAACTTTAACCAATTTTAATTTTATTGTACCTGCTCGCGGTGCATCTTGGAAACAAATTTATTAAAACTCAAATTTCGAATTTTAAAATACGTCTTTAATTAGGGGAGAGTGGGGCAAACCAGCCATACTAATTGTTTTCTTACTCTTGTGACTAAATGAATCAACTGATTTCATTTTTCATTGGCTTGTTTGAAAGATCATTTAATTAAGCAACTTTTCCCAGAGATACCTGTACTTTATCTTTTATTAATAAAAACGATGAAATAGTCGATCACTCCTAGTCAGGATTTATCTTTTATTGTTTAGTTGCTGTGTTAACTTTTAAAATTTTTGCAAACTGGCCCCTTGGGGTAAACCGGCCAATTAGGTTTTTTAAATATAATATTGCATTTGTATAATCTCCAATAACAACAAACATAAAGAATCATGTGAATAATGGTTGTAATAATGTAAATAATAATACAGGATTAAATTTTAATGAAATAAATATTTTTTTAATAACAAAACAAAAATATTTGAAGTTTTCAGGGAAACAATATTAATGGGTATAATATTCTTATTGGAAGATAATTATTTTTCATTGACACTAAATATTTTAATGAAAAAAACATTCTAACTAATAATAATTTTCGTTACACTCTGATAAAATCGAAATATTCTATCGCCGGTTTACCCCACAGGCATATTTTGAGAATTAATATTTGTCTATAAGAAATTCTTTGTAAATTCATCAAAGTATTTAGTGATAAATTATTCTGAGGTGTGTAGCTTCAAAACCTAAGACAGAATATTTGGAAATATTACATTTTTTTCAGAATTACCTTAAGAACAAGTTCGTAAAAATGTATAACGGAACTAAGAAAAAAACTTTTGCTCCCAGCGTTGCCATTTCGTAGATATTGAAACCTGGCTGGTTTGCCCCACTCTCCCCTACATTTTATATAAATAAATGTACTTGACTTTGAATCGAAAATAAAATTAGAATAGTATAAAAAGTTTTTATGTATAAATCTTTATACATAAAGAATTAAGCATACGAGATTTATATTCACGCGTTAAAAAGAGAAGAATATTTCAAAGAAAAATCTTATTTATTGAATATATCTTATTTATATGAAATTTTGAAGTAAACACAAACTGCTTTTTAATTATTAACAAAATCATATATGTGAGGGTAAAACTGGAGGAAATTGGATAACTTTGTGCCGTAGAGCATATGGGAACAGTATATAAACATGGCGTGATAGAATAATTTAAAAGACATTTCTCATTGGTATTTCACGGTGCTCTTGCTTGGTTATCTATCCTTTACGAATAATTAACGAAAAGATTACGTATATGAAAGCTCGCTCTCCCACCCATGTTTAAGTAACATACTTTGTCATAAGGGTTCTTGAGGCTTTTAAGCATCCTGTATCCTATATATGGGATTTGGATTATTTATGTCAACAATAGAAGAAGATTTTTTAACTCGATTTTGAATTTAAAATTGCAAACTTCACTTTCTAAAGTATTACAAAGACAAAAAAATATGAGAGAAAAAGTTTTTTCATATGTGCCCTGACGCGGTGAAAGGGACCTTACACCCAAAAATTTAATTTTCTGTCCTTTTTGCACGGAAAGTATGTCATTTCGGGCACTAAGAGCGGGCGCAAAACAACACATTACCACCCGGGAGTAGGGTATGTGATCACAAAAGTATTTTATGCCCGGTTTCTCTTGAAAATGTAAAAACGCATCACGATAACATAAAAATCAGTTTTTACCTAAGTAAAGAACAACTTCTTTCACCAGTAAAAAGAATTTACTGCTCATGCCTTCAATGCCATACTTTTTAATTTGCTCCATCACGTCAGACATTTTATTAACGTCAAACAACATTCCTAATCAAACAAATGACTCAAAATTTTTGTGGTCTTGGGATTTAAGGTTTTTTAAGAAATTATTATATTTTAATGTAAATCAGTATCTAGGGGCTTTTGGTTTTGCTGATTACAAATCTGTTCTCAGGTTTTGAAAATTCAAAATGGTTTAGTAAAATATATAAATTTTGTAGATACATAAAAATTCAAGAAAACTTTTTAATAATGTTCTTATTTGATTTCTAAAAGTTACACAGGACCACAAAAAATCAAACTTTTTCCAAGGCAAACCCCAAAAACCCTAGATACTAATTTGCATGAAATCAGAACCCAAGTCCAAAAATTTTTGAATTAATTGTTTAATTAGGTTTTTTTTTTTAAATTAGAAAAAAATCCTAACGTAATGGTGCAAATAGGACTTCAGATTTGTGTTCAGCGCATCAAAATAGGTCATAAAATCATATTTCCGGTTGACTTGGAAAAAGTTCGATTTTTTGTGCTCCTGTGTAATTATTTAAAAATAAAAGTAACAAATTATTCTTCTTTTTAAGGTTTAAGTTAATTAAATATGGGAATTTTTTTTTTATTTCTAATAAAATATTATTAAATATTTTTATCATTTAGAAAATAAGAACTTAAACTATATTTAAAAAAATTTAAGCCAATTAAAACATTAGAAAAAAATGAATACAAAGTTATGTTTTGCAAAAATGAAAAATATGAAAAAAAAATTTCTCAATTTAACTTTTCAATGAAATTATTTTTTAACAATTAATATAAATTTTTTCTAAATTGAAATTAAAAATTTTTTTTAATAATTAGCTTAATTTTTATTTTTCTTCTTTTTCCAACAGAAAAACGAAACAAAACACCAAAACTGTTAATTAAAAAATCAGTTTTATAACGTCGTATTCAGCGTAAAACAAAAAAACAAAAAAAAATATTTATGAGGAAAATTTTCCGGAAACAATCATCAGTTACGAACCAATAGTGTCGAAGGCTTGGGATAAATCAAAGTTCTTCTTTTTCGTGTAAAAACCACATTGACTGTATCGTATTTTAACGCAAGATCGCGTTTGTCAATGTACGTCACATTGTTATTGGAAAACTGTTCACATACAGTTTTCAACATGCAAATAGAGAATATCCACGTAATGCTCAATGCTAGCTTCATAGTCTTTGTGAATCGTGATATGACAAATGCGTGAAAATAAAAAACGTGTGTGCTAACGAATTGTTAACTGAAAAAAAATGAAACGAAAAGCAAGATAAAAAATGATTTTTTCTATTAGAACCTGATCGTTACTTGTTTCAGAAAAATTAATATTTATTTACAACTTAGCGTGTGTTGCAGTCTCATTATTAAACTAAAAATTTGTAACGGTAACTCAATTTAAGAAGAAGGTAACGAAAAGATTGATAAATGTTGAGAAATTTCTTTTGCTTTTATATAATAAAATATTTAAAAATTATGACAAGCAGTAAATTTAATCTTTTCAATAATAGTTAATAATTGATTTTTAATTATAAATTCACTTATAATTATTTTACTAATTTACTAACTTAATAACGTCTTGAGCAGAAATTGACCTACTTAATTCGTATTTCTGATGAGAATCAAACCAAAGTTGCCAAATGTGGCTCACATCAGAGAAATTTTAGTGCTCACATCAGATCGGGTCCATTCTGTCGAAAATGTGACTAACAATTAAGTTTCATAAGTGTTTGAGAATAGTTATATTCTAAATAAACAATAACTTCACAGACTATTGATCACTTCACAAAAAACATACATCAAACTATCTTTTAACACAAATCTTTGTGTTTTAACAGTGATACTATAAACACATGGATAAAAACGTTTTTAAACGCACTTTAGGTTAAAGAAACAAACTTTTAATATAGGATCAATGCACAGTAGTGTAAAACCCCGATCTAGCTGGACAAAACTGTTTCCTCCAAATTACTTTGATGAATTTTTATGAAACTTTTTACACGGGGGTTTTTAAGGTCGCTGATTACGAATCTGAGGTCAGTTTTAAAAAATTTAAAATGGCGGATCCAATATGGCGGACAAAAAGTTTAAAGAATTGATGGATTTTAATGAAATATGGTACTCGAAAGATTTTTGGGTTGCTGATTACGAATCTGAGATCAGTTTTTAAAAATTCAAAATGGTGGATCAAATATGGCGGACAGTAATACAAAAAAAATGATTGGATTTTAGTAAAACATGGTATTCAAAGGTTTTTTGCCTTGTTGAGTGCAAATATTAAGTTAGCTTTTTTTAATTAAAAATGGCAAATCTAAAATATTCAACGATCTTTTAAATATATAATTAAAATTCATCAGATTATTAATTCTGTGCTTAAGTTTGGAGTATTTATTATATTAGATGTAATTTATATAATTATGTTTATTTATAATAAAGTTTATTAGTTAACTGTCGATCATAACATTCTTAATAAGATATAATTATTTTTTTAATATTATAGTCTTAAAAACTTGAATTCCTAACATTTAAATTGTTAAATTTGTAAAATGAAAACACTTTTTTTTGAATTTTCTTTACATAGAAAGTTCTTTCTAACATTACCTTCCTGAAGAATTATTTTATTTGTAAACATTAATTTTTGAACTTACTGTCTGACATATTGGATCCGTACTTTAAAATTTTTTAAAACTAATTTCAGATTTGTAATTATTGATCAAAAAACCTTTGAATACCATGTTTTATTAAAATTCTTAAATTTTTTAAACTTACTATCCGCCAATTTTAAAAATATTACAATTTTTTAAACAATATTTTTAGTTTTAATCATCAAATATTTTTATATAGATTACATATTGTGGTTAAAACGTTAAAAAATATGATGTTATTATATAGAAAACGAGACTTTGGAGATGAATTAAATTTTAACTCTCATTGATAATACTATTTTAATTAATAATTATAATAACTTTTTATATATCATATTTTAAACAAATAAAAATAAAAAATAAACGTTATATTCTTAACTTTAATTTGATATATGTGACCGGGTCTGAGAAAAGGGACCTACTTACCAAAATCAACTTTTCGAGAAAAACGCGTTTAAAGTTTTCTATCCAAATAAATTAGATTTCTTGAAACATTTTACATTTTAAATTAACATGATGAGTGTTCTTTATGTATTTTTTTGTGCTGAATCCGATTTTCATGGTTAAATAATTGTTCAAATAACCCTGTAATTGTTATAAACGATTTACTTTGCAAAAGTCAAATTATGGAATTTTCAAAATTAATTTAAAAGACTTCCGGATGTCCTAGAGGTCTGAGATTTTTTATGCAAGTTTAGAATTATACAATAATCTGAATAATTTTGAACTCTACAATAATCCATAGTTATTTTTTGACTTGCACAACCAGGTTGCCGATGACGGGTATACTTGGGGATCATCTTCGAGGAATTAAGTCGAATTTTTTGTAAATGGTTAAGGCATTCAATTTAAGATTAAGGGGAAATATTCTTGACACTTAGACAACCAAAAAAAAATGTTTAACAATCGGGACTGATTGCATTGTATTTCTAGGACCTTAAACTGTAAGAAACCATAATAAAAAAATCGATTTTTTGGTCAGTAGGACCCTTTTCTCAGACCCGGTCACATATATTATAAATTTGTTGAAATTATTTAATTATGTTAAAATATAATTATAAAATATATATTTTGTTTAACAAAAAATTTAAAGACAAAATTATATGTTTTTAAATAGGAAGAACTTTAAATATAAGCATTAGAAGATTATATAAAGATAGATAAATCTTCGCAGAATATAAATAAATTTAAAAAAATTTAAACTTAATAAAATATTAATAAAAAATTAATTAGAATAATGAAACTCATGTTGGAGGCACGTGAAGTGGTCCCTTTTAGAAGAATCACCCATATACTTCTTAGAACAACCTCTATATTATCCAAATACCTAAAAAAATTTAAGACAAAAGTAATGGGCCCTTTAACTGAAGTAAATTTTTCTTTGCTTTATAAATTTTGACCTGTTATGCTGGCATGTCCACTTTGACGTTCTGTTTCAACGTTTATTAAGTGAATCTTACAGGGTCATTAAATGCTCGTTTCGGTCTTAGGGCGCCTACGGCGCTCTCGATCTCCACACGTGTCACAAAAACGACCGTAAACAAATGGCTGCCTTTATCCCGTTATTGTTTAATATATTATTTCCAACGATGAAAATCCATTTAATAAACTTTGGTGAAATAAGATAAAATTCCATTTTCACATTCAGGAAATATAAATTCACATTGGTTTGGATCTTTTTTGCCAATAAACTCCGCTGCATGGTATTCTTGATCGTAAGAAGTATCAAATTTCTCACTTGTAGTGGAAGGTCTAAAAACATTTAAATTCAAAATTACAAAATTAAAAAGTTACTTTATATGTGTGAATTAGCGGAATGTCGCCGAATGAGTAGCGATAAGTAAGCGGCTAAATCCGTCATTGTATATGTCGTAGGCGAAAAGAAAAATCCTTCGTTTAGCTTAATGCCTAGGCTTTAAACTAAACGCGGTCAAATTGGAAAATATACATAAAAATTGAAATAGATGCAAATATTTCTTATTAGCCTGGATTTATTTAGTCTTATTAAAAATTAAAAGAAAAGACTAAATTTTTTCATATAATGTTAACATTAATTTTATTGTTATTAGTTACATATGCACAAAAATAATATGTATGTCAAATTATTTATTGTAGCAAGATATATTTTGGTGGCTTCGCGAGCTGCAAGTTAATTTAAATTTAAAGTAGGTACACCTGTTCGTTTTACACTGATTTGCAGCCACTTTGCAATTGCATTTTTTAAAATCCTGTCCACCACACATTGATTGGTGAGCTGCTGCTTCTCTTAAAGTTAATGTAACATTTTTATCAAATTCTTCGCTTTTTACAATTTCTGTCCCTGACTCTTTTAAATCTGTACGTGAAAACCACCCTTTAATAACGCCGCTTTTTGTCCCAATTTTGATTTTGGATGTCAAATATGATGCCAACAATTGTACCAAAATCTAGTGGCCCACGATCTACACCAGGAACTGACAAAGTGACGCAAGTACCGATTGTTAACAGAGGAAATTGTATTTCAGAGAAGGTTTTTATTTTGTCAGCTGCAATTTTTTGCCGATTATAACAGTCCTGTTGATTACTAACTAAATTTGTTCCCCGAATGCAAAAAGAACATATGAGACTATTGTCAGTTTCTAAGTTTAGTGTTCCGCAATGGATACTAAAGTCACATTTCATACAATTTATGCTTTCGTTAGAATTTTAATTATTAAAAAAATAGTTAAAAATAATAATGCTCTTTAATAAAAGATTGTAAATTTTGTACTCTTTAATTTACCTGAACTTCAAAACTACCGCGGGACCAGTTATTTGATTTGTGGTCCACTATCCAAACTCGCAATATATTCGGCCATTATCGCTTTGGAGGATAGATGGAGCGCCAAAATTAATTTTTTTTAGATAATTCTTCTATAACGTTGGCAGCATGCTTTGATTTTAATGTTCGCAATCGTAAGAATTTGGTCGCATGGTCCTGGTAATTCTTCACTTCCTATCACAAGTTTGGCAGCAATTGACAAAAATTTCGACGGACAGTCTAGAAATGCGCCATTTTTTTGACAAAGTATATCATTTTGTCCCGTCCTCCATATCCAGTACTATTGTGCGCTTCCAATAGTTTTGGAAAGAAATCTTCCATCGGCACCATGTACACTAAATTATCTTGTTCACTTTTACGTTTCATAATCACGTGACATTCATCCCCGATTTGCAAAATTTCTTACTTTTTTAAATAATGGTAATGAGCCGGATCTTTTTTCCACTATTAAAATACTTTTTACTTATTCTAAATAATTTCTACTCCACATATACCGGTTGCTAAAAGTTTTATTAAGTGCGTCCTTACATTTCTTTTCAAATTCATCTCTAATTACCGAAACGTTTTCCATTCTCAATAAAATATATAAATTATAAAATTCGACAGTCACTTGAGTAAAGCAGAGTGAAACTTATAAAAAATACGCATCTATTTCATATACATTTTCCTATTCGACCGCGTTTAGCTTGAAGCCTAGGCATTAGACTAAAAGACGGATTTTTCTTTTCGCCTACGACATATGTAGACTGAAAAATCAGTGATTTATTCACTGTTTTGTTAGTGTATACAGTAATGTATACGTTTCATGTCTGACAAATTTACAGTTTAACCTTTACGCTGCTATGCCGGTCTGACAGACAG